GCTAGATTTTTCTGTCGTTTTTTATAAATAAAAATCAAACATGGCTAGCTAGCTGGATCGTAAATAATACTAGTAATTATATATATATATATAATGGTTTAATTCATGCATGCCTTTCACAAGACTCTGAAAATACTACTACGGTATTATTTTTTTTCCATCTCCAGTTCTCCTGATTCAGTCTGCACTCGGATCAAATTCCGACGTCGATCCGAAAAAATAGCACACATTAACTTGCCGCTTCGCCGGATTTTCTAGCATGAACTCTCTTCGTTCCATAATTATTGTCCAGTTTGAATTTTCATTTCTAGTTAAAATTGTACTAAAAGTAAAATTTCAAATTGAAAAATAATTTTGGGATAAAGGGAGTAGTAATTGACAAACCAAAATCCAATATTCCATAATCCTCTAGCTGGGCGACAGATGGATCTTTTGGTTGGATAATTTTTCGCAGGCTTTGGTTGAATATTAAGATACTCCCTCCGGTCTTTAATATAAAATATTTTGATTTGTTCTAAATTTCACCTAGTACATATATTTAATTGACAAAAAAATCTTAAAAATATTTTATAACAATCAAGAAAATACAATGAATGTGAAAATATCTTTTTAAGATTTTTTTCGTCAATTAAAAATGTGTATTAGGTGAAATCTAAAACAAAACAAAATATTTTATATTAAGGATCGGAAGGAGCCGGTAGGAGTAATAATTAAGAGTAGTTAAGCATATGCCCCCTTTAATTAATTCTTTTTTTTGTCTTCCCTGCCGACAAGTTATGTGATATTTTTTTCCTTCCCCTTTTAAGTCAGTGCTACAGAGGAGGCAAGTAATTAATGTGATTTTCACACTCCTTTTAATGCAATACTTAATCGGATTATTATAACAAAAACATAATTGTAAAAAAAAAATAAATAAATTGGTAATTTTTCGGAATCTGGCGTTCCTAGCTAACACATCTTCCATCCTTAATAAGAGTTTTAATTGTACAAATAAAATTTAAATAGTTTTATACATATGACTTTAATTTTAAAACGGAAAGACTAAATTTAATTAATTTGCAAGTTATCATTCTTGGTCGCGGCTGACGATATCAATTGTCTTGTGTAAATGTAATGGATGACTGATCACAAAACTTTGTTCTCTAGTTCATGGGAATCTGAAGAGCTAAGAGAATCATTTGTTCCTTGTAGATTGGTTGAAGCTAAAGGTACTAAGACGCATTACAAATCAAAATATTTGTTGCTAGAACAATGAACCCATTAGCCAATTACGGTTCCATGATGGATGCAACAGAAACGACGCGAACACTTTTTACCTTATTTTCCTTTTCTTTTTTTCTCCTTCCATTTCAAAATGTAGGTCGTTTTAAGTTGGGAGAGATTTTTCAAAATGTAACTTGTTTTACAAATTCTAGGCAAATTAATGACTATTTTTCCAACTTTACCCTCAATAAATAATGTTAAGCTATCTTTATTTAGTATTGTTTATAGTTTCAATGTAATTAATGGGGGGTAAAAAAGATATTTAACACGTAAATTAATCGTTGGATGATTATCTATTTAGTTTACGTGTCAAGTCTAAAAAGACTTATATTTTGAAATGGAGGGAGTATTATTATTCTCACCAATATTATTATTTCATAAGAGTACGAGTGCTCACAATTTAACATAAGATTGGTGGAATTTAATGTATCATTGAGCTATTTCGTTTTCACCGTCAGAAGTTATAATTCTCAACATAAATATTCTAGTAATTATTCTATCAATCAACTAATCATAATGAGCATCTATAAAAAGTTGGCTTGTATTCACATGCACTAGTTAACAACTCCTAACTACTTCCCCCTCCCTTTGTCTCCTACTCCAATTCCCTTTCTCAGATTCCCATTTCTTATGCTTCTTCCCAACAATTAATCAAGGCCTGAAAGCTCCATATTATAGCCAATTCAAGAGGGTCAATAATACCAATTGTTACTCTGCATATAGTGCTCCAAAAATATGGGAAATTGCATTGAGAAATGTCCAGAAAAGAAGGAACAAGTTAAGCAGCAGCAGCAATTACAAGAAAGTGTGGAAAAGCCATCATTTTTATTGCCAGAAGAAAAACCAAAAGGAGGGTCTATGAGATTAAAGATAGTTTTGACAAAAGAGGAGTTACAATTGCTGTTGTTACAGCTGAAGAAGAATGAAGAAGGCCAAGATCAAGCTGGGAAAAGGCCATATTCATTGGAGAATGTTTTGAATGAGATTGAAAGGAGCAGATTAACAAGATCTAATGTTACTGTTAATGTAATCTCATGTTCTTCTTCTTCATCTTCTTCATGGAAGCCTTCTTTGGACAGCATTATGGAAACTCATGAATGCCCTCCTGAAGTTCCTGAACAAATGGAGAGATTGAGATGATCAATTTGGACTGAAAGTTATGATGAAAACAGTCTAGTAGTTAGCCAGCCCTCCTCTCTTTTTGTTCTTCTTTTGCGAGGTAGTGTGTCTTTTGATTTTTCTTTTTACCCTTCTTCCTTGGTTCCTGAGAGAGCACATTAATGACATACTCCTTCTGTTTCGAAATGATTATCTAATTTAAATTTTTATTTTTAGTTTGAATTATACTAAAAATAAAAATTTAAACTGAATAATCCGTTTTAAATGGAGAAAATATGATCCATCAGATCAAGGCGTCAATGTCATTCTTATGCTTGATTCTCTCTCTCTTTTTTTTCCCTTCATGTACAAAATTTTTCTCTTTTGTGAATGGATAATTAGCCGGGAGTTATGATCATGATTATGACTTGTTTGGTTGTCACATATAGTTATTACTCTCTTTGTCTCAAAAAAAAAAAAATCCATATTGAATTTTTAAATTTGTACCATTTTTAGTACAAATCTCAAAATTTAATAAGAGTTAGTTTTATTTTTATTTTGTGACAAAGGTAGTATTATGCTTTGAGATGGTAGATTGACCGTCCTTTTTCTCTTTTTTTCTTTTTAGTCGTAAAAGGGAGTCTATAGCTACATATTTGGCAACAATAAATCTGGGATAACCAATCCTTACAATGTCATGGTTAAACTATCTTACAATCCCTGGAGACGGTGAATCCAGTTGGACCAATCCAATCCATCAGGATTCGTCTCCTCCAGTGATGTCAAAAACTCAGCTACTACATTACATTCACTATGGACATGTTATATATTCACATTGATAGTCATTGTTAATTACTCTATTTCATAATATTTTTGGTATAATAAAGCCATATAGTGTTCGAAACCACTGCCTTGAAGAATGTCGATTCATAAGTCTTCTGAATTACTCCATTTCTAATTCCCCTACATTTTCCATGATAGATCCACAGAATCTTTGTCATTACTTTTGGCCGAAAGCCCTCTATGCGTTACGAAAATTGATTGCTATTAGTGGCATGATTAAAATATAGAACCGATTGAGTTTTAGGTAACTAAACCTGCATTATATGGTTAGTGCTTTAGTGGTAATTTATTAATACTAGGATTTAGCACTTCTACAAGTTGTGAATATTCAAATGATCAATTCTCTAAAATGGACATATAAAGTACTGTAGTCGTATCATTGCTCTAACTTGACGCGTTATTCACCTAAATAAACGGTTATATTTTAGTCTTTTCTGTAATATATATATTGAACTACTTTTCGAGGGGGAAAAAAGGTGTTTGATCGAGACCTTAGCAAGGAGAAAGAAAAGACCAATGTAATTAGAGGTTCTCAAGGTAAAATTAACAATTCCAATATCTTTTAGAACATCACTTGGGAGTCGGCCTAAATTCGTTGCGGAAATCACGTTTGGATTCTTGTCCCCCTAATCGAATCAACCAATGTTGTCGTGTTGTGAATATGACAAAATTGCTTTTGTTTTTCCTCCGACAAAGTTGGCTCCGAGTAATTATTTTTAACCCCCACCCACCCCGGCCCCTGCCTTTTGTAATTGACTGGGAGTAAAAAAAAAACATGATTTAGAATTCAGAGGGGTTTAGGAAGAAAAGAAAGAAGGAAGAGGGGTTCGATTTCTGCCCTTGTGAATAGAGCAAACTATTTAATCAGTCTTTTATTGTTTAGTGTGCTGACCGTAAAGACAGAGGATTAATCCTTTTGTTATCGGCGAGAGGGATACCTTGAGAAAAAAAAAAAAAAAGAATTATGAGAAATAGAGAAAAACTTAGACAAAAAACAAAGGAAATATTTCATAAAATTAGTCGATAATCTTGGAGTACGGCGAAGTATTTACCTCGTTGTAAAATCAGCTTCATAAACGACGTACTATTACAACTTGGGAATTAAATAACGATGGTGTATTTTCTGGAATAAATTCAAGTTCAGTTTCTAGAAAGCAATATTTATAAGGATGAGTTTGCTGACATTAATGTGGGATTTATTGGGTAGATTTTTTTTTAATATTATACTAATTTAATTCCCTAAAATATAAAAAACACCTGAATATTTTCTCACATTATACATATGCGTCTAATAAAAGAGATTTCTACATTTCATTGTCTGTTTAGCATAATTCTAGGAAGAACGTTGCTGGTTGTGACAACAGTTTTCCTAATCCTAGGAAGGCCTTTATTTCAACTATTAACCATTTTGCCATCAGGACTATTAACTTGGTCCAGTAGGTCCTCTTCTTGTTCTTGTTAAGAAAGTCAGGCCCGAGTAATGTACCATATACAGTTACATGAGTATAGGAGAAGATCGAAACATAAAATATAAAAAGTAACCCGAAAAATGACATCACATTCTATAAATTGAAAATTTGATGTAATAATATATTTTCAATCATGATTTCAGCTCAAATAGTAAGTCAAATCATAAGTATTGTTAGATAAACTTGAGCAATATGAGAGAAATTAGATCTTCCTTGACATATTAGTATTTTTGTGTGTCACAATAATAAGACAAGATATATGAAACCATACAAAAATCTTCTATCGTATCCCATATTAAAAAAAATATATAGTTGAATTACTTCATTATACTTAACCAGTTTGTGTTTTCCATGAAAAAAAGTAATAATTTTGTGAATTTATTGCGATTATCAGCTCAAAAAATAAATAGTTCCGAATGATTTATAGTGATACAAATTTCATGTGTGGCAAAATAGCAGTCACTAGTAACTTCTGGTACAAATTTCTCCATACATAACAGTCGATGGTGGGCAACTGGGCACTCAAAAGTCAAAACAGCAATCGAAGGTGAAGTCAAGATAGCAGCAGGAATCCATTCATAATGGACAAGAAGAAGTACAAAACCAAACTTCAAATTAACTTCAATCACGAAACTAATGTTCCTCATTTACATATTAATTCTCCGAACGGATTTAACAAATAAAAACCATATGTTGTTCTAATTTCTAAACATATATAGCTACTAATTTACATGGAAGACGGAGGGGAGAAAAAAGAACAAAAGATTCGAACGGGAGAAATCACACCTTCCAAATACGAAATAGTGCAAAAAAAACTCCTAATAAGGTAAGTCTCTACCTATATGACTTATCTAACATACAAAAAGACTACAACCTCACCGACTGAAGTTGTCGATCTTCTGATCTCTCGACCCACTATTTACCTTAAAAACCAGTTAATTTATCGTTACAAGGAGAAGAAGAAACCAAGCTAAGACGATTGATAGGGATGTGAACCAGCTCATTGACCACGTCTTTGAATTCAAGAAGACCACCATCTTTGCATTTGGAAAGCAATCGAGTTGCTTCCTCTTTTGTCATCAAAACCTTCACCTTATTATTATTACCAATCATCCCTTTTCTCGGCTTCTTCTCCTCATCTTCGATTGCACCAAAATCATTAGGGCTTTTGTTGCAACTGTCCTTCGTTGTCGTCGCGGTCGTCTCGAGCGAATTCTTATGATCGCAATCAAAACATGAATTTACCAACATAGCTTCTTCTTTTGGTGTTATAAAACGTACCCTTTTCTTATTGTTGTTTTTGTTGTTGTTGTTGGCCTTGCTAACCGGCGATGGCTTCTTTGTTTCCAAACCCTCGTATTTGTAGATATCAGCAACTTTATTCATTTTTTTAGATGAACACAAAAGAGTGTTTCCTTGATGATCAAATCGGCTGTTTTTATGGTTATGGATGAAAGAACTCAATGAACTCAACATCTCTAGAAGATTGGATATAGTTGTTCGTGAGTCTACTTTATGATTTTGAGAGGCAAAGTGTAAAATGTTCTTATATTAAGTGAGAATTTAGTTGGGCAGTGTATATATAGAGTATTAATAGGAATGTGAGCGTTTCGATCACGCGGGAACATTAATTTAATTTGGACCTTCTCAACGCCTTAGTTAATTACTAATACTAATCATAATTCTTAATAGTTCGTTTTCATATTTTTAGTCAAGCCATTATTTTAAATCTATAATATATCTCAAATTAATTATTCGAATAATTTGAAGTAATATAATGTAGTAAAGTTGAGGCAATTGGGATCTTCTTATACTGCTTGTGCTTAACTTAGATAAAAATGTGAAAAAAGATATCTATTTGTCGGATGGTCTGCAATGGTTAAATGAGGCGATTTTGGATACAAATTCATAATTGTAATACGACATAATTGTTATTTTCTTTCATATGATATTATAATTTAATTCCAGGCATTTGCCTCTCCCCTTTGTAACAAAATTTAAAATAAAATAAAATCGTAAAAGAGATCATGGATCGACAAAAAAAAAAAAAATCACTCCTGATTTTATTTTATTTTTCATTAAGGGAAAACTTGCACTTTCACCATCATTCTTAATCTCAGTAGCTCATTAACTCGCACTTATCTTAAGCATAATGACTTGGTCTACTGAATTGACCCAAAGCAAACAAAGCCTAAGAGAAACGAAATTGGACTTGGTCATGGATGGAGGATGATGAAAGGACCCAATATAATCAAAACCCATTGGACGGGTGGTTGCACACTAATTCAAGTAATTAATGAAGGTACTATTTCCGTTTTATTATTTTACTTCATTTCCAATGTTAAATTAAATATATTTTTTCAATTATAATAGCTTAATCTCTTTTTGTTTTTATAATTTTATTAATAACATACATCAATAATAACTATTTTTTTTAACTTCAATTTCAATTTTTTTAGGCGCATTCTTTAAATTAGGAGCAAGAAAGATATTATTACACTTATAAGTTAAAGTTTCAATAATAATAATAATAATAATTATTATTATTATTATTATTATTTTACATATGCCTAATGCAACAGATAAAAAAACAGAGATAGTATTAATCGAAAAGCAATAATGACAGAAATCGCACTTAATAATGTGGTTATATGTGTCAATTGTAGCAGTTAGCTATCACTTCAATTTTGAAGTCATTTAACCCCAGTAAACAAGATAGACGTAGACCCGTAGAAACTAGATAAAGAGTGTAAGACTCAAGACATAGACGTTTACTTCACTTCTATATTTAATTCAACTTTTTCAAGGGGAAGTGAGAAGAAGAAAAAAGAAAACCCTAATTTTTGCATGGTAGAGGCTTCAATTGGTGATGAAAGAACATGTGTAGACTATAATTTTGTGATGTTTGCTTCTTAGTAGCTGTACAAAGAAAGTAAAATTGTTTACTTTTTTTTTTCTCCATTAACGTGAAAATTAAATGTAATAGTTAAAGAAAAAATGTCATGCATAATAAGCCCGGGTTTCATCTAAGTTAGTTCAAAATTAGACTTACGTATATCCACAATATAATGATTTTTTTTAACGCTAAAAAATCTATTATTTCGTTAAAGAAACCAAAGGGAGGAGCGCGATTGTTACCCTCCCTACGCCCCCTAGTTCATTCGAATTATTTACAAAGTTCAATATGAAGTCGCTTCATATTGAAAAGTTATAATTTCTTTTTAACGTATATTATAATTTGCAGAATGTATTTGGTAATCCTAAGTATAGTTCCTTCACTCTCAAAGGTTTCAAAAAAAAAAATGATTTAATTGGGAAAATTGTCATTGTCATTGAATTTTCTTTTATTTGATGAAGAGGTCACAGTTAAGTGCCATCAAAGATCTTGTTTCTTTTCGTCTTCCTTCCATGATATATTAGGGCTTAGAGATGGGCAGATCTTATGTCGTTCTCTCTTTCACAATAAATTGAAAAGAGAATGAAAAAATTGTTGGAGCAATTTGTGATGTAACTTTCATATTTACTTTACTTTTCCTTATTTCCGTTACAATAAGTTGAACGGTTTTTCCCGTTATCATCTACAAGTGAAAAGGTTGGACAGTTATGAAATTGAAATGCACAAGGGCGTTATCATCTACAAGTGAAACGGTTGGACAATTATGAAATTGAAATGCACAAGGGCTGGATTTTTCTTTTGTAATCACTTCGAACGCTCTTCATGCCTTGGCTGAAATATATGGACTTGACTCCAAGCATTTTGCTTTAGCATGAGAAACCGGAAATCAAGAAGCTTACGTTTTTGCAGATTCACACCTCAGGTAATCCACTTGGGCTGTTAATTAATGCCACCATGACACCATTAAGAACAGTAAACAATAATGATTCACTTCATGGTTTAAGTATCGTAAGATTTGTCTATGCAAGTTACATTTTTGCTTTGAATTGGGGCATGTAGATAATCGTTTAGTCCGGTAAATCTGAAAATTATGCATCATTTGGTGTTTGGGATCGATATTCGATAGTAGTGATGAAAAATGTGGGTGTTTGGTTGTGTTTGCTGTAGCACATTTTAAAAGCTTGCAAATTTATTTGTTTTATATATACTGTATTACTCAACTCGTGTTTGAAGTCATTGTTTCCATAAATATAAATTCAAATTAGATAAGTTTCTTTCAGGAACTAAAACTTTCGTAACAAAATTTAATTCCTCCAAGTTGTATATGCTTTCCTTATCAATTATAGAGTGACGTCATATTTTTTTAATATGATACAATGAATTAACAAAAGTAAGCGCAGTTAATCCCCCTAGTATCTTTTTAATCTCGAAGAGTCTGTATCCAGTATACCCGGAGTCACCGTGTACCCCCTCTTATTTTTTGCATTTCTAGTCCTTATTGTACTTTTTTATCAATCTTTCTATATTTTGTAAGTTTAGTCCCTGTCATTTTTTCTCTCTCGTCCAAAAAAAACATCTCTAATCTTTCAACGAGCATATCTCCCAATCCGTAAAGAATTTGTGAACGAATTATATTTGAAATTTATAGTACTCGTCGAGATCTATCCAACAAGATCCATAGTGAATATTTTTCCAGGCTTAAAAATGACTTAATTCTGATGGACAGAATAAAGATTGATATCCAGTTTTACAAGATGGATAACCAACTTGTTCTAAATTGGTTATCCATTGTGTTCATGCTGATTATCCAATCAATTTGAACTGGTTATCCATTTTGTTTGTACTACTTATCCATTTGGTTTGTATGTCTATCCAACTTATTTGTAATGGATATCTCACTTGTTTAAAATGGAAATCCAACTCGCTTGTACTGGATATCCATCCATTTGGTTTATATGCTTATCCAATTTGTTTTGTAGTTGTAATCCAACGGGTTTGTATGCATATCCAACTTGTTTGTGCTGGATATCTAACTCGCTTGTACTGGATATCCATCCATTTCATATTAATTATCCAACTCCTTAATTCAAAATAAGTTGGTTATCCATCTTATTAAATTGGATATCCAATGTGTTTATATTGATTATCCAACTTCTTTGTGGTGGTTATCCAATATTTTTTTCCTTGCTCTTTTATGAAAATGATTGTCAAACTTTTTTGTACTGATTATCCAACGTGTTGCACTGATTATCCAATTATTTTCTATTGATTATCCAAATTGTTTGTAATTCTTATCCAATCATTTTTTCTATCTTTCTTTTTTTTTGAAGAGTGAATGTCAAAAATATGATTGGATAATAAGTATAAACAGAATGGATAATCAGTCCAAACCGGTTGGATAATCAGTAGGAACACAACGGATAACCATTTTTCAAAGAAAAATGAAACACATTTCTTCATTTCTGCCCGTAAAATTTAAATGCATTTAAAGTTCAAAAAAAATATTCAACATAGATCTTATCGGATAGATTTCGTCAAGCACTATAAATTTCATGTATAATTCGTATTCTAATTCTTTACGGATCAAGAGATATATGCAATATAAGATCTTAATCTAAACTAAACTGGTTATCCATCTTTCTAAACTAGATATCCATCTTATTCTACCCATCGAAATTTAATCATTTTTAAACTCGAAAAAAATCTTCGACATGGATCTTGTTGGATAGATCTCGACGAGTACTATAATTTTCATGTGTAACACGTTCTCTAATTTTTTACGGATCATGAGATATGGTCCTTTAAAGATTAGATATGTTTTTTAAAAGAGAGAAAAAAAAATCAAAGGGGCTAAACCTGTAAATTATAAGATATTATTTAGAAAAGTGGAAAAAAATGTAGTAAGGACTAGTAGTGTAAAAAATAAGAAGGGGAGTATTGTGACTCCGGGTATACTGGATAAATTGCCAATCTCAAAAATTCTTTCAAATTTCGTTATAAAAGCTCAAACGACTTTATTGGAAATTTATTTTCCACAATGGAACGATACCATAATGAGGAAAGTTTGTTACAGTTACGTATACTCTGTTATCAGTGATAAAAGTATCAACAAATAAAAAGTTGACACTCCCTTCTGATAGGTCAAAATTTCGCTCAAGGAATCAACCAATTTGGACGAAGGTTATTACTTTTTCCACAAGGAGACTAGGGTTCGAAGAATGTAAGCTGAGTAACTTTTGGGGTGAATTTATTTGGCTTCGGTGGACTTAGTCGTACGTTCTAATGTGTAACATAATCCTATAAAATACTCTCTCTGTCCCACAAAAATAGTCCACATTATGTTTTAAGTTTTGTACTGTTTTTAGTACAAATTTGAAAACTCAATGTGGATTATTTTTGTGGAACGGAGGTAGTATGGATTATAATCAGTATCAGATCGAGAACAATAAATTACAGGGGGTTGTAATACATTAATTTAAAAAATCAAATTTTACATAGTGCTCACAAAAGTTTATTTTGATAAGTTTATTTTGGTATCAAAGTTCAAACATTTGACATAAATTTTTTTTCCCAATAGATGGATGTAGAGATTATGATTTTTGCATCCCAATAAATATGAACTAATACTAACAAAATTATTTTAATGTCATAATTTAAATTTTCTATGTACCCAAAAAAGTTTCACTTTTTCGATGTATATGATTTTTTTTATAAGATGCTCCAAATAAAGTCCAAGATCTTTATTTGAAACATAATAATATTTAATTAGGATATG